TCCTCTGCCCCGCTACTCAAGCGTGGAGCCGTAATCAACTACCTTCCCGTCCCCCCCCCTCGCATGTTTGGGAAGCCAGCCAGTGGTGTCGTACGCGGATGCCCCGGCATCCACGAACTGGTCTTCCCTCTCCCTCTTTCCTAACCTCTTCCACCCCGATTGAGCATTTGTTGACTCCGTTCCTCCGCCCCGCTACCCAAGCTACCCAAGCGTGGAGCCGTAGTTCGCTACCTTCCCGTCCCCTCCCCATTCCCCCTCGCCTACCCTCCTTCCTCCCGGAGACGCCAGCTAAGTGAGACAGTACGCGGATGCCCCGTCTTCACGAACCGGGCTCTTTCCCCTTCCCTTTTGCCTATCCTCCTACATACCCAATCGAACCCAAGCGCGGCGAGGCGTCCCACTTCGACGGGGTCTACGTCCCACTGGGCGTGCCCTATGTCCTATCGACCAGACGGCCCGTCACCGTGGCCCATAACTCTGGGCCAACGCCGCCCTACGTTTACGTCCTACCCAAGCGGCACCTCGCACCGCCTATATGCCTCCCCGACCCCATCTCTATGGTCTTCAATAAAAATCTTGCTGTATTGAAGGCCGGGCCCTGGACAGACTGAGAGGCTGTACCTGGGCTGGGAAACGCACAGTGGGGACGCACTTTTGATGGCCACGCTGACCCATTGGCATTCATCGAGCGGCTGGAGGAGCGTGTAGAATCCTACGGAGGGAGCACCGAGCAGCTACCACGTGCCATCTCAGGCCTCTTAACTGGCAAAGCTGAGGGATGGTTCCGCACCTTCCAGATGCAAGGACAAAACTGGACTGATTTCCGCAAGGAATTCCTGGATTTCTTCCTGCCCCCCAGATACTTCCAGCGCTTGGAAGACACCGTCCGGAGTCGTGACCAGGAGCCCAAAGAATCATTCAGGGATTACATGATTGAACTTCGGCTGATGATGCAGCGCGCCCGGTACACCCGTGAGCAAGAACTAGACAGGATCCATGAGAATCTTAGACCGGAATATCAACTGTACACGTGCAGGCATGATTTTCGCGCACTCACCGAATTAACGCAGCTCATCGCCGCCTACGAAACGGCCCGGGACCGAGACGCCCTTCGCACCAATGGATCCGGACAGTCAAACCGACCCCGGGCCACGTACTCCGGCAACGGCACGACGGCTCAACGGAGCACCTCAAACGATGCCAACGGAACATCGAACGTCGCCAATCGGGTTATCACCCAGGAGGAACGCCCACTCGATGTGCGACGAGCGTGCCGAAACTGCGGAGAAGAAGGACACTTCAGCAGTGCATGCGCCAATCCACAGAAATTATTCTGTTGGGAATGTGGCCGCCGAGGTGTCAGGACGAACAACTGCTTCCGGAAGACCGAGTCGGGAAACGGATCGGGTCTCCGTTCCAACGGGACACGGACGGAGATACACACCCAGGATCAGGAGCAATCCACCCGTTAAGAATGATAGGAGGAAGGATCGCAGGGCTGGTCACCATCGATGGGAAAGCCTTCGAAGCTACGCTTGACACTAGAGCCACGCGATCCTTCATCAGTCAGCGAATGGCCGAAGAGATCGGGACAGCGATGAACAAACGCGAGGTGAGGACCAGGATCAGCCTGGCAGATGGGTCAAGCAAGGAGATCACTCAGGCGATAAGGTGAAGGTGCGCCTCGACCAGCAGGAAACCCAAGTATCGCTTTTGGTCTTGCCCACAGTGCTGGGCGACCTAATCATAGGCCTTGACTTCTTGGGTGGAGTTCGAGCCAGAATCCACTGCGGACGAGCAAATCTCCAGCTGAACCCATGCCCGGATCCCACCCAACGACAACCAGAAAATGCCATGCTGCCGCACACCCGGACAGTAACCTTCGCCAACCCTCTGGTGACCCCAAGTCACCCAGCAGCCACCCCGATTCCCCAAGCCACAACCGACACCACCGAAACTACGCCCCGTGCCAAGCAAATCAGCTCCAACAAACAACACAGGAAAACAACCCCGCCAACCAACCCGGACCGGCACCCGTCTACGAACCAAGATTTGGCAGAGGTAGCTGTATCAAGCGGGCCAAACCAGGAGTCAACCCCGAAGCAACGGTCACGGACAGAGACTTTGGCAGCGGTAGCCACACCCAGTGTGCCAAACCAGGAGCCTCATGCCCAGACACCTTCACAGGCAGAAACTTTGGTGGAGACGGCCATCAACGGCATGTCGAACCAGAATCCACCAGCAAGAAAACGACAACGAACCAAGACTTGGACAGAGACGGCGACAACCAGCCCAAGCAAAGCAGAAGCCGACTCCAAGAAAACCCAAGGAAAACCCCAGCACTCGCACCAAACGGACAACATCGATACCGAGCCCCGCGCCCGACGCGGCCGGAGAGGCTCCGGAACAACAGGACGCCGGCAACAAGAACCAAAACGTGGACTACAACCTGGAGCCACTGGCCGACGCCAAAGCAGGCCGGGCGAGGAATCCGTTCCGCACCACCGATCGGGACGACTACGACCAATCAATCTTGGCCGCGGTCACAGCCATGGAATTGGAGGACCTCTCTCCCTGGCCACCAGCCCCCGACCACGTAGAGCCTCCCACAGCAGAGGCAGCCAAATTCTTGGAGGAGGAATTGGCCAAATTCGACGGGATGACCGGAATTTCACAGATCGCAGAGCATACTATCACCATGCGGGACGACAAGCCCGTGAAGCAGCGGTATTTCCCCAAAAATCCAGCCATGCAAAAGATAATCGACGCCCAGGTTACAGAATTACTACACGACGGACGAATCGAGCCATCCCGAAGCCCCCACAGCGCACCAATCGTACTGGTGGGGAAGAAGACTGGCGAAATGCGGATGTGTGTGTACTATCGGCAGTTAAACGCCCGATCTGTGCCCGACGCATACCCACTACTACGCATAACTCATATTCTGGAGAGACTCCGGAACGCCTGCTACATTTCCACGCTGGACCTCAAAAACGGATACTGGCAGATCCCGGTGGCCGAAGGAAGCCGAGCTGCACAGCATTCACCGTTCATGGTACAGGCCTCTTCCAATGGAAGGTCATGCCATTTGATAACCTCAAAGAAAAGTTGACCCAGGCGCCAGTCTTGGCGTGTCCCGATTTCAATGAACGATTTGTATTACAAACAGACTACGGCCTCGGAGCAGTGTTGACGGTGCAGATCGCCGGAGAAGAGCGGGTCATTGCCTACGCTAGCCGTCGCCTCCTCCAGGCAGAGGAAAATTACTCTGCCACAGAGGAGGAATGTCTGGCCATCGTCTGGGCCGTCAGGAAGATGCGCTGCTACCTCGAAGGCTACCATTTTGACGTCATTACCGACCACCTCGCGTTGAAATGGCTCAACACGATCGACAACCCGACTGGACGCATCGCACGCTGGGCACTGGAACTCCAACAGTTCCGGTTTGACATCCACTACCGACGTGGAAGCCAAAACGTGGTAGCAGATGAACTGTCTCGGCAACCGGTGGAAACACTCCAACGAACAGAGGAAGACCGACCCACCTGTCCATGGATGCAACGGTTACTCAGGCGAATACAGACACAGCCAGAAAAGCACGCAGAGATCCTCATCAAGAACGGGCAAATTTATAAGCAAACAGTGAGACGATCAGCTGACGAGGACCCCATCCAATGGAAGCTCTGCGTCACTAAGGATCATCGGCGACGAGTTCTAGAGGAATGTCACGATCACCCAGCGGCAGGACATCTAGGAATCCGCAAAACCGCAACGCGGGTGACGCAGCGCTATTACTGGCCCGGACTCCATCGGGATGTCGCACGATACGTGCAACAATGCACAAGTTGCCAGAGATTTAAGGTGAGCCAGATAAAGCCTGCAGGACAGATGCACACCCGCCAAGCCCAGGGACCCCTGGACATACTTTGCGCGGACTTCGTGGGGTCACTTCCCCGATCCAAACATGGCAACACCATGCTATTAGTCTTCATGGACTCCTTCAGTAAATGGGTGGAGCTGGTACCGCTTCGCAAAGCCACAACGGCACTGCTGGAGAAGGCATTCCGAGAACGCATTTTTAGCCACTTCGGGACGCCCAGGAAGTTTGTATGCGACAACGGTACCCAGTTTACGAGCCCCTTCTTCAGAAACTTCTGTAAAATGGCCGGGATGGAATTGCAACACACTGCCCCGTATACCCCCCAGCAGAATCCAACCGAGAGGGCCAACAGGACGATCAAGACAATGATGGCTCAATACGTGGAACAGGACCAACGAACCTGGGATGAACTTCTGCCAGAACTAAGTCTGGCCGAGAATAGCAGCACCTCAGACACGACGGCTTTCAGCCCCGCCTTTCTGATGCATGGACGAGAGCCACGCCTATCCGGAGCACTGTACGACGAGGTGACGCTAGGGCCAAGCCAGACCAGCGAGGACCCACAGGACATGTCATCCAGACTCAGCGAAATCTTCCGAGTGGTACGAGAGAACACCCAGCGTGCTTCTCAAGAGCAAAGCCGAAATTATAATTTTCGGAGGCGCGGGTGGCAACCCGTGATTGGAACTCTGGTCATGCTTCGCCAACACCAACTATCCAAGGCCGCCGACAACTTCCCCGCAAAACTGGCCCAAAAGATTGAGGGACCGTATCGGGTCATCAAGTTCATCTCCCCGACCATAGTACGGCTACAACAACACCCTGGACGGCAGCGGCGAACCGCCGGACTGGCGGATCTAAAAATGTTCCACGACCACAACGACGACAGAAGTGACCAACATGAAGACATCGCAGACGAAGAAGACCAGAACAAAGCAGCCACCTCCCACGCGAGTTCATGAGGGCCAGGGCAGTGCGCTGCCCTAACGTCCTTGCTCCGAAAGGAGCGACCGCGGCAATGCCACAGTAAGCTACGTATAACTCCCCTTATGGGACTAATCATAAGTCATAGAACCAAATGTAAATCGCACCAATAGGCAGGTCAGGGCATATAGACAAAATGGCTAGGCAGATTTTCACCTATCAAGGTTTCTTCCTTAGCAAAACAGCAATGAGTAACACGGGCGCGGACGACGCCCAGCCTTTGGGAGAAGACGGCAGTCAGCCCCAGGACACGGCGCCCAACGCCTCAATCCATAGAGCAACAACGCCCGGCTCACCACGGGCCAACAGTGGGGTAGCTGTCACCGGTCTCCCACCGGTCCAGGCAGCACCACCCCACGCCTTCACCGGGGAACACAGCACCCAGAATGCCGATCTCGGAGGCATCCCATCGCACGTGGCCGTGCACCCACTACAGGAGCTCGCCGAAGGCCCATCCACCTCACGGGTGGCTCTACGACGACTCGCCATCGCCGGCGACGCAACTGTGGCCGCCATCCAGGGAGGACGGCCACACGAAAACATCGGGGAACTCCAGCTCCTACGACGGGAGAACGCAGCCCTCCGAAGCGAGCTGAAGCGTCTGCGACAGCGGGAGCAGGAGCGACGACCCCCTACGGGTGCGTTGAAAGGCGAGCCACGACACCACCAAAGATGGAAGTCACCCCCACCACCACTAGCGGTACAAAAACGCCTCGGCTCCTGGCCTCCTCCGCCAGGCACAGCCCGGAGGACAGTCCGTAAAAAGAGGGACCCAGCACCGCACAGCAGCACCGATAGCGAGGCAGAGGTCTTGCGGGATGGATGCTTTGGAAAGGCCCGGCTCTCCATGGCAACGCGACACCCAGCCACCGAAAGCAGCCACCAGCCCCGACTAAGGGAAGCTTGCCCCTCAGCTGGCAGTGGACATGGTCACGGCCTCGGACGGTGGGCAGTGAGAGAGGAGACGGAGCTGAGCGAGAAGACGGAGCCGAGCGAGGAGGAGGGACCAGGCGAGTCCGAAACTCTGGCCGACAGCGGGAAAGGGTCCGGAAACAACAAGCGAGACCGAAAGTATGGTCCCCAGCCCATTTCCCAGTCGGGGTGACGACGAAAGTACGGAGGAATACCCGCGGACGGAGTCGGGCATCGACGACGGGCGAGACACTCCACCATCAGACCCACGGGGAGACACTCCGCTTCCCGAACCACGACCAGCCACGCCGCCACCAGAACTGCGGGCAGACACTCCGCCTTCACAGCCACGGGCAGCCACCCCGCCACCAGAGCTGCGGGCGGACACTCCGCCACCAGACCCACGGGTGACCAGTAGTAGCAATGCCCAGGAAGAGGAAGACGACCTCTCGATCGGGTTATCCGGCCCAGGAAGCGGAGGAGCTACAAAACCTGTTCCGGGAGCTGCCAGCGCTGGATGATATATAAGAGGAGCGGGATTGGGTGGAGGCACCGGCTGGGTGGCGTGTAGAGACACCCGGTCGACGAATCCCGGCCACCCTGAGGGAAAGTGCGAGCCAGCGGGCGCTAATAATAGGACCCCGGACCCGGGAAATCGAGATCCACGACGGGCAGACCTTCCGCGTGTCGGTAAACCGAGGAGGGGAGGTCTTCATCTCGGTACGTCCCCCGAAGTAGGAAGGGAGTGTGAAGGAACCCTTCCCAACCACCACCACCTACCTCAACCCCTCACCGGTCTCAGCTCCCCACCTACCTCACCCACACGTCATCTTTTATAATTAGTTGTATATTCTCATTATTTTTAGTTCTAAGCCGTCCATATTAAATAGCCATACAAATTTAAATATAGCGCCTATCCTGTATTGAGGGACCAGAACCCTCACCCTGAACAGAACCGGTACCAGAACCAGCACATCGGAACCAGCACATCTGAACCAGCATAGGAACCAGCACATCGGAACCATCATTGGAACCAGCACATCGGTACCAGCCCACCAGAACCAGCGCCGGAACCACCACCGCGAGCGTAGAGAAAGAGATTAAGAGCAACGACAACGGCACAAAAGAGAGCCGAACCACCTGCCCACCCACAAGGGGAGAAACGCGCAGACTCTCAGCCACAAGAGCGACCGAAAGAACTCCCACCCACCCACAGAGCCGAGCGAGGACCGCTGCCCACGCCACATGGAGAGACTCACCGACTCCCGTGAAGAAGAGCGGAGAGAGCCGAAAAGCCGAAGCGCCAGCAAAGGCTAGCGGCAGAGAGGGGTAAGCTGGCATCAGCTAAGTGAGACAGTACGCGGATGCCCCTGTCTTCACGAACCGGGCTCTTTCCCCTTCCCTTTTGCCTATCCTCCTACATTCCCAGGGTCAGCCAGCACCTCGTACCCTGCCCTCGAACCCAAGCGCGGCGAGGCGTCCCACTTCGACGGGGTCTACGTCCCACTGGGCGTGCCCTATGTCCTATCGACCAGACGGCCCGCCGCCCTACGTTTACGTCCTACCCAAGCGGCACCGCGCACCGCCTATATGCCTCCCCGACCCCGTCTCTATGGTCTTCAATAAAAATCTTGCTGTATTGAAGGCCGGGCCCTGGACAGACTGAGAGGCTATACCTTGGCTGGGAAACAATACCTTACAATTTCAATGCTTTTTATTTCCCAGACGGTAAGCTGAAATCACAAAGTGTTTCAGCTTAACTTCTGGCTGTTTTAATTATCTTTTCAAAATAGCAAAGTTCTTTACAACCAGACGTAAGATACTAGAGTTATGTGGAAAAAACAAGCGCTACCTCTGAAAAAAGCTAAAAAAAATACCAGTTTTCAAAAATTCTTTAAAATAAAAGTTCTGCCATAGAAAAAAAAAAATATCATCAAACCATTTCTAAGCCCCAAATCTTTAAGAAAAAGTTGGTTTTGTTCCTTGAGGAAAAATCGTGTCGGGTAGTGTTATCAATCTTTCTTTTTTTTCTACCCTATGTTCCTTTCCTACATCCCTTAACAGTTTTATTGTAATATATTTAAATGTATTGAGCTATGAAATATAAAAAATATAATTTAAAAAAAAAACGCACACATTTAAACATGTAAACAGAGAGCCAAAAAAAATCGGCAATAGGAAAAAGAGAAAAAAACGAACCACCGACCCCAGATTATTGGGTTTTCGCCTTCCTCGCATTCTTCCTCAATTTACTAATATCACCCTAGGAAAGAAAATAAATAAACAATTTATTTAAGACAGGCCTTGAACCGAGGACTCACTACACATAAAAAAGATTTGTTTAAGAAATTTTAAGAATTTTACTTAGTTCTGGTGGGAAGATCGAAAATCAGTACTTTGGCGGAAATCATTGGCCTCACAAATTTGTATACAAAGGCAGGCTCCGGCTTTCACATTCGCAAAAAATTTCCGAGTTACTTTTCAAAACGGATATTTAGGCACTCCCGCATTCGTTAAACGCAAAAATTTTCCGTTTTCAAAACGGCATCAAATTCCTCGCCGAAATTAAAAGTAATCGGTATGCATCAAAACTAATCTTAATTTGCAAAATGACCAAAATAGATTGCTGATAGATGCATTGACATGGATTTGACATCATAACCAGTGCAATTGAGTTTATGCGTGGGTATAACAGCAGTAAATTTTGCGCTTAACAGTACAGGAAGAAATAAACATTACATTTGCAAATGTCAGAGCACCTTGAAATGAAAAGTATGACTTTTGGATGAAAACGTAAAACGCAAAAGTAAGTGAAATCCAGAGCCTGCCTGATAAATTAAAAAAAAATTTATTCAGGTTTTTTGTATTTTAATTTTTATTCGGTTACTGTTGCCGACGAAATTTAAACCTAAAAGAGTAGCGGTGAAATTTAAACCATAACAGCCACGTAGACGCAAATGGCAACGCCACCATGCATAAGCACCACCATTCGGCAACTCTAAAACAGAGAAACAATTGAGGATAAACCAGCGAAGCAAGGACACAAAGTTTTTTAAAGCTTTCTCTTATTATTATTATTAAGCTCACATAATACATTGGAATGCTATATAAATTTGTCTACCATTTATTGCTTGAAATATTCAACACCCGTGCCTCAGCAGGACCAATGACAACAGCTTTCGCTATTGTGATTGAGCTGAGCTTTTGGCGGCTGCTGTAGTTCGGAACGCTGATAGAATTAGTGCAGCTCTGACCACAAACAGAATACACTACTAGACAAAATCAAACTTTTTTTTCCTCAAGGATCCAAACCGACATTTTCTGATAGATAGGTAGGTTAGGTTAGGTTAGCTTAAGGCGGTTGTCGGGATCGCCAGGAACCCGACACACTTGGGCCGGTTATGGACCGTTGTGATGCCGCGTGGATCATGTACTCTTCCCTTGTGAGACACTATGTCAGCAGTTGTCCCATCCGGATGCCCTTATGAAGTTTGCGATCCTTCTTGGACTCATATTAGACATGTCCGATACGTCGTTCATAAAAGGCATTCCCAGGTATTGTAGCCTCCTTCTACTGAGAGCCGGACAGGAGCAGAATAGGCGTTCCACCGTTTCTTCCTAGTCCTCATCTCTACAGCTACGACAGAAGTCGTTGTAGGGGGCACACATCCTGTTAGCATGGGTGCCTATTAGCCAATGTCCTGTGAGGGAGCGTATGATTGAGCTGCACCTTTTTCTGCTGAGCTTTCAGAGCTCATTGGTGCGCTTCTTTGTGATACTAGGCCATGTTTGCCGAGCTATGCGACATTGCGGTACAGTTTGCCACCTATTGTCTGTTAATAGCTTGAAGTTCTCTTTTATAATCATTTGGTGTGGTGCGTAGGGCTCCACTGATAAATAGGGCGGCAGTTCGTTGTACTTTGCCCAGTTGTTTAGTGATGGTCTTTTTTGATAGGGCAGGCCACCACACTGCGACTCCGTAGAGTAGTATTGGCCTAACTATTGCTTGGGTTCATGCCCCATTTCAAGCCAATTGCCTTTTTGCAAGTGTATAGAGCTATCATGGCCTTCTTCACTCCATCTTTGATATTCAGGTTCCAACACAGCTTCTTGTCAATTACCAACCCTAAATATCTGGCATTGCCAGATGCCAACACGTTCTATTTTAGCCTTAAGCCAGGCGTGAGGAATTTTTCCCACTACCGGTATCTTCCTGAAGATGCATTGCAACCAGTTACAGGCTGTGTCTCCGGCTTATTGTAATTCAGCGGGAATGACCTGGTCGGGACCAGGTGATTCGAAGGAACTAAAGCTATTTATTGTCCAGCTAATATTCCGTTTTGTGAGGATGTGCGCCATCGATGTTGCCGGCTCGATGGTTGTGCACCCTGGAAAATGTGTCTTTAGTAGAATATGTAGGGATTCCTCACTAGAGTTAGTCCACGTACCATCCATTCTTTTGAGGTACCCCACCGAGGGGGCTGTTTTTGAGAGGATCTTACGGAGCCTTGCGGCTTCCGACGTCTCCTCAATGTCAGAGCAGAATTTCTGCCAAGAGGCTCTTTTTGCTCTCCTAGTTTCCCTCTTATATGGGGCTCGCTTACTCTTGTAGTTTGCCCAGTGTTCCTCCTCGTTGTGGCTTTTAGCTCTATTGAAAAGAGTCCTGCAGCTTTTACGTAGGATATCTATTTACTCTGACCACCAGGGTTTCTTTTTCCCCCTAGGTTTGGTTGAGGGGCATGCTGCCGTGAAGGCTTTTTTGCATGCTTTTTTGCTTCCGTGAAATTGTCCACTAGACGATTAAGATCATCTTGAGTGTCCGGGCATTTTGGTGCTAAAGGGGGAAGCAGTTCTTTCATTTTTGAACCATATATATCCCAGTTGGCTTTCCAGGGGTTTATGTAGTCAGTGGGCTTAGGGTTTTCGAGAGATAGGACTGTCTCAATATACCTATGATCAGGGAAGGAGTGGTCCTCTAGGACTTTCCAACTCTTAATTATGTCTGACAGTTTGTGAGACACTAAAGTGAGGTCGATAACCTCCTGCCGGTTTTTTATAATGAAGGTGGGATCGCTCCCCCGATTAAAAATAACCAGATTCGATATTAGGATGAAGCTGAAAAGCCCCTTGCATTTGTGTGCGAGCTCCCCCATTGAGTGTGGTGAGCGTTGGCATGAGGCCTGTATCCGACCTCTCGCTGTCGCTGGCTATCTTGCGACCGAGGTCACTTGGAGGATCGATTTCCTCGTGGGCCATGTAGGACGACATCAGTCTTGTCCCCTGTATCTCTAGGCTAGCACCGTGTTGTCGCTGTTGCTAAAATTATGGAGCAGAAAGATATTTAGGTGTCTCTTTGCAAGTATGCAAGGTACGAGTTTTACCTTCCTTTTGGGCTACGGTAGCTTGTAGTACTTCGTCGCTAATCCACAGACCTTGCCTCCAACCACCCAAGGCTCCTGGATTAGGACTACGTCGACTCCACTTGAAACCAAGTGGAGTATGAGAGCAGCAGATGCTGCTTTACAGTGGTGGAGATTGATCTTTAGAAGTCTTAGAGACATCGTTATGGTGGTGGAGATTGATCTTCAGAAGTCTTAGAGACATCGTTATGATCAATCTCCACCACTGTCGTGTCGGCGTCCGAGTCGTCGGACTGCCCGTCCTCGTAACACATAGCCTCGAACTCCTTCATGAGGGTCGAGTCCGTGAGGTAGCCATCCTGTTTCTGTTTCTGATAGATATGGGACTTTATAATTTTTTAAGGTATTATGGTTTTTTCCCATGTCAGAACTTTTTTTTGAAGAGTTTTTGAAAAGTGCTATTTTTTTGTAAGTTTTTTTCAGAGGTAGCGCATTTTATTCACATAACTCTAGTATCTTACGCCTGGTTGTAATTTTTTGCAATTTTGAAAAGATAATTAAAACAGCTAGAAGTAAAGCTCAAACACTTTGTGATTTCAGCTTACCGTCTGGGAAATAAAAAGCATTGAAATGCAAAAATGATGATTTTTGTGCGGTATTTTTTACGAAATTTTGACTTTAAAAACGCAGGAAACACCGAAAAAAAAATTATATCCTGTGTTCTCTATTTTTTTATGTATAAGTGCATTTATTAGGCGACTTTAAAGATAATGCTCATTCTTTACAACCAGAAGTAAGATAGTAGAGTTATATGAAAAAGTAGCGCTACCTCTGAAAAATACTTTACAAAAAATACCAGACTTCGAAAATTCTTTAGGTGTAGCTTACCGTCCGGGTAATTTTATCAAATGATCATGATCAAATATCGACCCTGTCTGAATATATTAAATTAATTCGAAATTGCGCAAATATGCGCTTAAGTTGTTAACTCTGTTTAAAAATACATACAATAACAGTCAGAAACAATCAAAATTTTGACAGGCTTAAACAGCCGACTTTAAAGGTCTACCAAAAAGCCACGGATGGGCCATAAAATTGTTTTTGATATTTTTACGCAGAATGGACATTTATTTAAAGGGAGTAATAATAAAACTATGATAATATTACAACTTAATTCTTGGGTTAATGCCAAAAAAAGGCATTTCCGCCCAATGTGCATTGGGTCATCTGCTGATAACTTTGAAATGACTGAAAAAATTTAATAAT